CCAACAACTTATTATTACTACTACTCGTATCATTTATCATTATTATTATTATTATTATTATTATTATTATTATTATTATTATTATTAAAACTATTAGAATTCAAATTGAAATTCAGTTGGATAAGGATTAAGGATTTTCTCCATATCCACACTTCTGGGAGTTGAAATCTTGATCAACAGCCAATCACAATGCAGTACCCCACTTGAACAAGTCTTTTTCTTCTTTTCTTTACCTTTTTCATTTCTTTTTGTTTGTGTTCTAAAATAGAGGATGTCAACTTCTGACAGTTAATAATTGATCATACTACCTCCGTTACATATTATTTGTAACGATTTGATATAAAGTAGAGAGGAAAAATATCTAATCGTTGCACATAATATGTAACGGAGGTAGTATATACATACTCCTCCTACATATAGTATAATTTTTTATTTATTTATATATTTTTTTAAAAATGAACAATATAAAATTTAAACTTCTAACTACAATTATACTAATTGATAATTGAATCTAGAGTGTATTATATAAGCCAATCTAAAATACAAATTTATGTAAATGTCCTAATAGGTAGGAAGGCGATAATATTGATTTACCGAAATTATGATCTTTTTTTAAAAATAAAAAGTTTAGATTATGGGACTCTACCAAATTGTCATGGATGAAATAAGTTAATAAGTGTGTGTGAATATTGTTTAAGAGTTTAAGAAAAGGAGGTCATTAGCAAATAAATGAAATAGTATTACAGTTCTAATTTTCACATTTATGTATTACAAAGTATGAGTATATGATTTCTAATCTCTTATAACTCAACGCATGGCATCATCTACATGATAATGACATCAACCCAAACGGACATACTATCTCAAAAATGATGTATGATGACAAATGCTTGGACTGGCCCACCAATATCTAACTTTTAATTTTTTTCTTAAAAACACGCTTTATTGAGTCTCAAAACCTCACACCTCTTATCGAATAATTGTTCTAGTAATCAAGGCAAAACGAACTTGCCGACTTCACCATAGCAAATCAAATAATAATGTGATTAATATGCAAAAAAACACGGTAACAAAAAAGGCAAATATATAAAGCAAGCATGCCCCATTCTTTTGACCATTTAATTAATCTCTTCACACCCACCCCGACTCTATTCTAGTTTCTCCCCATAACCACCACCACCACAACCACCACTACTCCACTAGTCCACTACTTAGCCTTCACAAGCCTACAAAGCTCGACGATGGTTGTGAATGACCACCATCACCACCCGGTTTCCCTTCACCACCTCTCGACGACTACATCTCTCCTCCACTTCACCAACCACCATATCCCCACACCAATTAGCATCACGTTGAAAATACAAAAAATCTTGAAACCATGCACCGTACAATTTAGTACTCAAGTAGTTTTAGCCTAATATTTTCATTCCATGTACACCTATAAAATTATCATAACACATAAAGTGGGGCTCAATAAAAACATCGACCCACTTCTCAACTTGTTCAATATTTTTTATCACTTAGTTGCTTAAGAATAAGAAGGTTCTATAGAAGGTTCTACACTTAATACTCTAAAACAATATACTTCGTATTAAAAAAAAACAGATGAAATTATAAACTATTATCAGAATCATATGATTTTAATTCTCTGCTTAATTAGTACGTGCATGGTAGGGTACGTGTTTCATATTTATCTAATTCTATAAAATTAAGTTAATCACAAAGAATTATGAGATTTATTATATATAATCCTCAAATAAAGCACTTATAATAGTGATAAAATCATAAGAATAGATATATGGAGCGTTAATCTTGTTGTGATTTCTTAATTTTTAATATAAATAAATAATATACAATAAGCTTGCATGGATTCGAAGAGAAATGCAAGGAGCTAGCTAGTATAACAAACCAAAACAATTGAAACATCTATCTATAAGAAGGAAATAACAATCTTACAAGAAATCTTACATCCGAGAAGATTGAATGTAATGTGATCTTACTTTGAAATTAGATCGATATATATTGAATAACCGAGAAATACATAAATAAGGTGATGATATATATAGTTAAGTGTACCTCCATAGTACACATCAATTTCTAGCTTCATTGGATGAAATGAAAATTTTGCAAACATGAAAAATACTTTATCACTCATGAAGATAACCTTAAACACTCCTTAAAAGGGACACAAAAAAATGCGCAAAATCAAACAAGCAATGCTTATGTATACTTACATGCAAGCACAAACCCTAACTAATTGTGTAGAGATGATAAGTAGGTAGCTTTGATTGATGGTAGTCCATGTAGATATATAGGATCTACATGTCGCGAACCTGGAAGATATTAGGGTTCTTAACAACAATGTCGTACATGTAGACCGAGCTAAACTTGGAGAACTCCCTAGGAAGTGATATCAAATCGATAGAAGATCTCTTATGGAATTGATAGAGATCAGGATCACCTCCAAAGTAATGCTCCCACCCTAGATCTTTAAGAATTGGTTCAAGGGTTTGGTACGATGAAATCACTCTTCCGGTAGGAAGATGTACGAGCACCTTCCTCCTTGGTCTTGCCTGATCACTTCCACCCTGGTCGGCCTGAGGGTTCTCCACCAAACGAATCACACCATTGTTCTTGAACACCCACACTCCTGACATCTTTAAGTTTTGTTGATTTTTCTTTACTAGACTGAGTGTTAGGGTATTAAAAAGGATTGGTTTGTGTTGTTGTTTTTTTTTCTCGAGATGTATAAAAGCTAAACAAATGTTTAGAGGTGGATGGATGAGTGAATGGGGAGGTATGGGAAGAGGTATATATATAGCTAGGGGGGCATGGGGTGAAGATAAAAACAAGGGGGGAATACTCTTACAATACATCCATCAATTATCAAATTATCATTACCTTTAGCATAAGAATCTAGATGAAAAGGGTCCCACTACCATGGGTGTTCTTAATTTTGATTGGGGGGGGGGGGTACAAGAAGATGCCTTGTGGTGTGATTTAGGGCACACGTGGGTATAGTTTAGGAGGAATTTTGATGCTTATGTTCATATAAAATAGAAGAATCTAGGGAACCAAGAACAAGTAAAAAGGAAGAGTCTAGCCTACATACAACACTAGATATCAAAAGGAAAATTAATCCAATGGCAAAAAAAGGTAGTGCCCACTTTGATCACGCAAAGCCCATGTGAATAAGGTGTATGGGGGATGGTAACACTATATTATTGGTCCATAGCAGGTAATTAACATGTTGTGTACTTTAGATACTATGATTTTATGGTTTATAATTGCTTTGATCTAGAGAATTTGTGTAGAGGACAAGAGCTAATGATAAATTGATATGTATATTGGGTCATGTCATGTTAATAATTTGTTTGGTGTTCATAATTATATGTCACAAAAGTTTTGATATGTCTTTTATATACAGTTATATATGTTATATGATTGTGAAAAGGGATAAATTTAGTGCCCATCATTTGATGGTCCTACATGAAAAAAGGTAAGTGTCCATGCAAGTTTGAGTTGGAGCATAGAGAAAGGTCATATCAATGTACTCATCATCATATGATGAAAGAAAGAAGTTCATATGGGCAAAGGAGATTTTTGTTCCACACACATTATCAAGTTCAAACTAGACATTAGAGGTGACAAGCGGACCATTTATCTTTTGACTGAATATGGATTTTATAAAGGTGATCTTATAACTTGGGTGCATAATATTTATTACCTCCGTTTTACATATTATTTGCAACGATTTGATGTAAAGTAGAGAGGGAAAATGTCCAATCATTGCAAATAATATGTAACGGAAGTAGTATATATATTCAAACTTTTGCAGATTCATTAATGATAAAAAATTTTAAGCACAATATGTATATACAGTGGTATAACGTAAGCTAATTTTATGATTTGGTGTCCACATTAAGCATGACCAATCCGATTGCTAATTCAAATAAAATTTTTTGGTAGGTAAGAAAAGGGTACTTGATCTATGGGAACAAGAATGACCATACACAAACCATTCTGACCTGTGTTACTAGCAAGGCATATAGGTGGGGGAAAAGAAATCTCCATTTCTAAAGTGCTCTTCGTAGAGACTAATCTTCCGATTTCAAAGTTGTGAGATACAATCATATAAATCAATTAATGTTTGGTACAAGCTGATTTACTTATGATTGGTAGTATTTACTATTAAGAACTTGTGACGTATAGATGATGTTATATTAGTGCCATACAAATACAAATCAATCATTTTCATATAAATTAAAATGTCTTTTATAGAGACATGGGCCAAACTACTTGGAATGATGAGGTGGAGGAGTCATCTCAATTAAATTAATAAGAACTGTATATTAGATTAGATATAATTAAAATTGTATCATATAGACAAATCATGTCTTACATATTAGTAACCAATTCGTACAAAAATGATAAATCAATTAAATTTATTTTGTTGCAAACAAATGAAATGATAAATCAATGTCCTACTACACATGCACATTAAGCCTATTAGAGAATGTACTATCTACTTTATGTGAAAAATAAAGAAAAATGGACTGACCACACCAAATAATTAAGCTTTAATGAACTTCCAACATCATGCTAACTTATGTCATGGAAATAAGCATTACCACCACATGAAACTCACATGGCCTCCTTGGTCCTACATCTCAACAAGCCGCTTTGTCTAGTCAAAACCATTGCCATCAACTCATCAAGGATATATCCTTCTTTTAAAGAAAAAAAAAACATAGATATATCCTCTTTTAACATCAAATGTATATACTACTTATTTGCTAAGAGTTGGGTATGAGTCCAGTGGCGGAGCCAGGATTTTCAACTTGGGGGGACAAAATGCTTAACTTACGAAAAGCTTAACAAAAAAAAAAAACTCACACACAAATTGGTTAATACTTAATATTAAATTTTCAAAATACAAATATATACTTAGTCATACAATTCAAAATGATGAAAAAAATTACATAAACATTACATTAAAATTACAAGTTCATTCTTCGAGTCTTCATACTTTGAAATCGATCAATAATCTTTTCGTCGGAAACTTGTAAGAAGACATCCTTCTCAATAAAAGTGACCAAACAATCATTCATAAGTTGATCACCCATGCTATTTCGCAACTTGTTTTTGACACATGTCATTGCAGAAAACACTCTTTCAACACTTGCCGTGGCAACGGGAAGAATCAACATCAACTTGATAAGCAAATGAATAAGAGGAAAAGTCTTATGCTTATTGGTTTTAACAAGCATCATAGAAAGAGAATTAAGGTCATTTAAACCTTGAAATCTTTCATCATTTAGCATATTCTCCATGAATACATCAAGTTGATATTCAAGAGCCATCAAATCAAAGCTTGAAAATTCTTCGGGATAAAAAGAGGCAAGTTTAAGTACCTTATCTTTATCAAAGGATGAGAAGTTATCTTTAGGACTTAAACAAGCCATACATAATAGTAACTCCATATTCCTCTCATTAAATCGTTCATCAAGTTCTTGAAGATGCAAATCAATTAGTCTTAAGAAAATTCCAACCCGAAAATGATGTTCATTTGTTGCTTCTTCAACAAAACGTCTTGATCTTCCATGAGGAACATAAAGAGAATCCATAGTGGGAATAACAACACCATGTTTAGTGCAAAATGAAGTTACCTTGTTTAAGAGAGTATCCCATCCTCGCTCCCTCATTTTTTGCAACACCGTTTTTGTATAAGTGACAAGTTCCATGGCATTTACAATATCTTGCTCCTTTCTTTGCAAAGCAACACACAAATCATTAGTGTATCCAAAAATAGTCAACATCAAGTGAGCAACAAAAATAAAGTCAAATGACTCTAATTGTCCTAAAACAATTTGAGCTTTGAACTTATCTTCCGATGCACCATGCTTCCCAATTTGTACAAGCACCTTAATAATTGTAGGAAATAAGAGGATGACATTTAAAAGTGACTTGTAATGAGAACTCCAACGAGTATCCCGGGCCTACTCAAACCAAGTTCTTGATTTAAACCCGATCCACTCACAATATCCCCAACATCCAAGGCTCGAGCAACTTCTTGAGCTTGATCTTGACGAATCATTTCTCTTCTCTTGCAAGAAACTCCAACCACATTCAACAAATTTCCAAGTATCTCGAAAAGCCAACCACAACTATCATTCTTTTTAGCAACGACAACTAATGTTAGTTGAAGTTGATGAGAAAAACAATGTATATAGTAGGCACTTGGAGTATCATTCATAATCAAAGTCTTAAGGCCATTTATTTCACCCTTCATGTTGCTAGCTCCATCATACCCTTGCCCTCTTATCATAGATGGGCTCAATGAATGTTCAACAAGTAAAGACATGATTGCATCTTTAAGAGTTAAAGCGGTAGTATTAGCAACATGAACAATGCCTAAAAATCGCTCCATTACCTTTCCACTATCTCTATCAACAAAACGCAAAACAAGAGCTAGTTGTTCTTTTTGGGACACATCACTTGACTCATCGGCCAATATAGCAAAGTAATCATCACCAACTTCTTCTATTATGCACCTAGTTGTTTCTTTGGCACAACAGTTAATAATGTCCTTTTGAATAGGAGGGGAAGTCATTTGACAATTTTTAGGTGCATTTTCAAGAGTATGTATCCTTACTTCCTCAACCTTTTCTCCTAACCACTTCAAAAGCTCAAGGAAATTACCCCTATTATATGACTCCCCACTTTCATCATGTCCACGAAATGCCAAACCTTGCCCCAAAAGAAATCTTAAACAAGATAAAGATGCTTTCAAGCGGATAAAATATTCACTTTTAATCACATCACTTGCATTGTCAATCACATTCAAGATTGATTTCTTTTTTTCATCTCTTAAATTCACATATTTCTCATAAGCAAGATTATGAGCACTTTTAATTCCACCAACATGCTTCTCAAATCTTTCCGGTTTATTCCATGCCCTAAACCCTCCATCAACAAATGCATCACCCCCCGGTTTAATACCAACTTCATTCTTGAACAAGTAACATACAAAACAAAATGCAGCATCTTTTTCAATACTATATTCAAGCCAATCCCATTTGTTGAACCAATGAACACTAAAGCGACGCAAACCAGACACTTGTCTTGTAGGGAAGTCATGAGTTTTTGGTTGGCAAGGTTTTTTAAGAATATAACCCCTCCTAACAGCATTTCGTTCATTTGCGGGGTAATCCATAATGTTTATTCTTTTTCCCGGATCATGAGGAAGAAGTTCAACATCATACACCAAATCTTCCTCTAATGGTACATTACTATTACTTGAACCACCCATTTCCATACTATTTTCTTGACTTTGAGGGGAGCTAAATGAAGGTGAGTTATTGGACTCATTTTCATTGGACTCATTTTCATTGAGTTTCGTTCTTTTAAACAAGAATTGTCGAAGATCGGGTTGTTTAGTTGCCTTTGATTTGTTTGAATTTGGTGAATCGTTTGACATTTCCTAATTAAATCGAAAATTATATATCAATTTCCACAAGACCACAATCCACATCATTACATAATAACAAAACCTAAGAGGCTAAGATTTTAAATTTCTAATTCAACTACACATTTCAATAATTTACAATAATTAATAAATTTAAATTCACATTTCACAAAAACAACCAAAAACTCTAACAGGGGAAACAATCAAACAAATATAAATCAATAATCATTTATCAATTCAAATTATTCAATAATCAATACCCACAAGGCCACAAATGACAAATTCACAATAAAAATATAAACAATTAAACATTTAAACAAGTAATAAAAATATGAAATTCAGAATTTCAGATTTACTGTAAATTTAAACAATTAAACATTTAAACAACAAAACAAGTAATCAATTATTCAATTAATCATACATTCATTGATTCATACCTCCATTGAAATGCATATGACGAACAGACGAAGTGTCGATCGAAGTCACGCTGTCACGCTGTCACGAAGACACGAAGTCACGATTCACGAAGGACGAAGGCTCAAGGGCTGAAGGGCGGCTGTTGAACCTCGTCACTGCTGCGAACTGCCGGCGAACGGTGGACGAACAGACGGCTAGGCGAACAGACGAAGTCACGAACACACGAAGTCACGAAGGAGGAAGGACGAAGGCTCAAGGGCGGCTGTTGAACCTCGTCACTGCTGCGAAGTGCGAACTGCCGGCGAACGGACGAAGACTGCCGGCGAACGGACGAAGGCGAGGGCGAATCGAAGAGAGAGAAATTGAAAATTGAAAAACTTAGGGTTTGGCTTTGGCTGGCTGGAAAATGTCGCAACGCAACAGGATTGTAATTGCTTTTTTTTTTTTTTTTTTTTTTTTAAATTTTTTTTTTTTTTTAATTTTTTTTTTTGAAAATGGGGGGACAAGTGTCCCCACTCGTCCCCTTCTAGCTCCGCCCCTGTATGAGTCGGATCGATCAGGCCCACATATCGTGCAATCGTGTATTATTTTTAAGCGGATAATATTTACAACGGTTTAAGAAAAAATAATATCATGTTAGACTGATATTCTATACATAGAGCCTATTTACATGAACCAGTCCATGTGCACGTCAGTGGGGTAGACTTTAATTTTAATTACTAATCTTTTCACGGGTTTTTTTTTTTTGTAAAATTATCAATTATTAACGGATTGACACATGAACTACCCCGTCATGCCTATGCTAGACTTGTGTCAAATTTTGAAAATAATATACATACAATGCATCACTTGCTTTAATTTGTTGGGTTTGGGGTGGGTTAGGACTTATTTTCATGCCAACACGATTGATTCCCAACATGACTAGTTAGTAGTTTAGTACCATTGCTATCATATAATCCCTTTTCTTCATATTAGTTGATTTATGTACACATTATTAATTTATTTTGAATATTTGATGCCAAGGCAATTAAATATGTTGTATAACAACTTTGAGCTGGCATAAATAATAAAATGTCAACTAAATTTAAACAAAGAAAGTAACTCATTAAAAAGGAGGCAATCTTAACAACAACAATAACAACATGACTAGTTAGTAGTTTAGTACCATTGTTCCCACACCGGACCACCAACAATTCAACATGCTAAAGCAATAGCAATCACCATCTCAATACAACTTTTGTATATGAAATACCTTTTTTAAAATGGAAAGTCAAAATTAAAATTGGTACTCCGTAAAAATACAATACAACATGCTTAAATTTTACAAAATTTTCATGTGACTCAAATTATTAATTTAAGATATGTGTCATCCTTATTATTTTACCAATCATATAATTCTAGACGTATTAGGTTACTAATTTTTCTTCTTATACCTACAAAACAATTATAACAAGGACTAGCATATTTATTTACAAATTACAATGTTTCTCTTATACTCCGTATATATTTCTCTCTTATATATTTATACATCATAAAATTGCATAGAATAAAATTAAGGCAAAGCAAAAAAAAAAAAAAAAAAAAAAAAAAAAAAAAAAAAAAGATTCTAATTCTTTAGTTAAGTACTCAGTATTTATATTTCAATATTTCAGCCACTAAAATGATGTACACACTTTAGACGACAAAATTAAAGGCATGTTTTTCTTCTTCTCATGCATCATTAATTATGTTTCTAGTCTAGGTTTCAGATTCTAATTAGCTTAGTAAGGAATTTTCTCAAGGCCAACTTTTGTAGGGTATTTTATTTTGTTAAGAATATTACCTATGTTTCACAATGTTCTTAGCATTTTTTTTTTGACACCAAATTTTATTTTTCCATTATATGTAATTTATACATAAAGGAAATCACAAATTAATGATATACTCATATATGATTAAAGTTCCACATTGATAAAGGTGAAAAAGTAAAATGTTAAGAACGTTATTAAATAGATCAGAGGTAGTAGTATCAATTTGATCAATTACTTAAATATTTAAAACTCATAGTACGATTTGGATTGCGTTAATCCTTTAGTAAACATTGCATTAATCATTTAGTAAACATCGGGTAATCATTAATCCTTTAGTAAACATTGCATTAATCATTTTAATCATTTAGGGTCTGTTCTCATACGATTATTTTCATTTCATTTCACTTCAGCTCTAATAAGTTCAGTTCAGTTAGTTTAGTTCAGCTCTAATAAGTTTAGTTCTGTTCAGTTTCTAATTTACTTCTCTTAAAAAAATATTCATTTCAGTTCAGTTTAACTAGCTCTAATAAGTTCAGTTAAGTTCAGTTCAACTTTAATAAGTTTAATTTAGTTCATCTCATTTCAATCAATGAAAACATGCCCTTGGTCTGAAAAAACTCAAATACACATTAGATTCGCGAAATTAAACATTACAAAAAACTAAATAAGTCAAATATTCATAGGGGCCTAACTAATATATTCCCCACCCATAAATATTGCAATATGTGGTATGTCTTGTGACTGACCACAACGTATGTGCACTTATAAATGAACAAAGTAACCCTTATAACATTGATCGAGTAACCCCTGTAATATTGACCAAGTATCCCCTGTAACACTGATCGAGTAATTCTATGACACTGACGATGTAATCCCTTTAACACTGACCAAGTAATAACACCTATTACACTAATAACGAAGTAATCCCTATAATGATCTGCCATACGGTGTGGCCAGCTACATATATAAAAGAATTTGTGTTTTGTTTTTCAACAAATCTTTAATCGTTAATATCTTTAATTATTATTAATAAATAACATCTAAAAATAATAGAAATTTTACATGTATATATCCAAACCGTTTAACAAAGTTCAATATCACATAATATGTTTTTACTTGCATATAAATCACAATAGTTGTTTAGAATGGAATATTTGTCTAGTTTAAAAACTCAACATTCACAATATTTATATTTATTTATTTTCATTGAATTTGATAGTTTAAATCTATATTATCTATATAGTTACTTTAATTAATTAAATCAATTTGTTCTCTCTTACATACCTATCACAATCAATACCAAACAAGCACAACCTTTATAGAAAGGTAGAAACACAAGTAAAAGAGATGGGGAATAAATGAATCATAGCTGTTATATCACTAAATCTTATATATACCTTTTTCAAAATAATCTCCATTAATAGTTTAATATGAAGTACTGATTAAGATTGAGAATGAACTTATAATACTTTAAGGAAAGATAAACAAAAGTTAGGAGAATAAACTTCTTATTAATTTATATAATAAAGATTTCTTCTTAACAATGCGTGCCGTAAGCAAAAAGAATTTATTCCTAAATATCAATTTCTTAGAAAATTAGGAATAAGGAAGGTGCCAAATAAAGGTCTATAACAAAGCTTATAAGAATAATTGGTCTTTCATATACAAAATATGCTCTTAGGGAATTAGTTAACCTAATTAAGATTATGGAAATATTTAACCAAAAAGGGTTGTAATTTAGAGGCTATTTTAGCTAGCTTAGCTAGAAGCTAAGGAATTATAATTATATATGAATGTGATTCAACTTTCAAAGGTCGAAAAAATGATGGTGGTATACTGGTATTCATCTTTGTATGGAAGGAGCTACCCAAAGTTAGGTGACTTCATTTCCCACCAATAAGGGCATAAATTCCGTATGTAATCGACAAAGTTTGATGTATGACAAATTCTCTCTCCAACAGCCTTATTTTAAAAATTTGTAACGGTCAATTGGCTATAGTTTTGAACGTGTTAATTATCACTTACAAAGTGTTGAAATTTAACCCATTATAAACTCACCCGTGAGTGTCCTATGCTAAAGAAATAGGATATTAATTCATTTAATAAGATATCCATTTTTTCTTATAATTTAAAACTAAACAAAGTAACATTCAAAATTACACAATAAAAATACACTATATGGAGCATATATTATACATATAGTAAAAACTAAAAAGAGGATTTTACCCTTTGTTTACTATTTTGAGTAATGTAATATTGTACTCCCTCCGTCCCTGGAAGAACGACCCATTTGGCATAATTTTAGTCCCAAAAAGAATAACCCATTTGCATTAAAAAAAACCACTAATTTGCAACAATATTTGTGCAAAATTAGCTTTCCCATATAAAAATTTGATTTTCCATTTAATTTTATTACTTTCTCTCTCTATTTTTTTATAAATTCCATGTAAATTTATGTTTCCAACATACTTTTACTTCTTTTTATTTAACTTTCTTAATAACCGTGTAATCAATTCAAATGGGTCGTTCTTTCGGGGATGGAGGGAGTAAATAAATAGTCAGGCTGGCTCTCACTTGTTTGCAACTATCAATAACAAAAAGTGTGGCTTTTTTTTTTCCCCAAAATTTTACAAGTTCGAAGCTTGCCTACAATTTTTTTTTTATAAATATAGAGTTATATATAAAGCATTAAATACACTCTTGAAAATTGTACAAAATTAGGAATCCATGACAAAACACACGCGTAAATCAGTGTAATTAGTGTTTATATTTTTATGATTTCTTATTTTTTTACGATTTTCAAGT